CCTTCACATCTGATTTTCGACGCCTTGGCAAACGAGACAGCGTCCCTGATTCTTGATTGTCTATGGAGGTCAGAACTCCGGATTCTTTCTCTCATTTGAGTGAAGCATGATACTCCAAGCATAGCTCTTTTGATTCCTCTTTGAGAGACCCGAATAGCATTCTCATCCTGTTTGCGTAGGGCCCAGGTCTCTGAGGCGTATGTTAATGCAGGAAGAACAGTGGAATCGAAGAGATGTGCTTGGAGTCATAGGTTCTTCATCCTCTTAGCTATTTCTTCGACGCTCTTGAAGGTGTTCCAAGCCACTCTCTTCCTCCTGTGCAACTCAGGTGACAGGTCATTTGTCATGTTGACTTCTTGACTTAGATACACATAACTGTTGCATTTGGAGATGTTCATTCGTTGAGAGCAAATGGAACGTCAGGAATGAGACTGTTTCTCATAGACATTGTCTTCGTGAGATTCAGCTGTAGTCCGACTTTTCCACACTCACGGTCGAAGTCGACCAGCTGTGTGCAAGACAAGTGCACTTACCCCTGTACTGCCTCTCCAGGCCCCTACACACCCTCTATTTTGTGTGGTGCTCACACATTCCTGGCTGTGGTGCTGGTGGACATTGTGATACCAGGGATGACGCTGGGCCCAAATGGCAGTTACCGGGATTGCATGTAGCATAGGTGACACCGTAGGGATTTGAACCATGACTTACACTGTCAAGGCTGGAGCTACAGGTCCCCTCATCTGTGTTATTCCTTATTTTAGTCGTTTTTGTTTGTGTGTGTGTGTGTGTGTGTGTGTGTGTGTGTGTGTGTGTGTGGAACAGGAAGGGGGGGGACCACCCGACAGTGCTTGCTCCTGGCTCTGCACTCAGGGATCACTCCTGGTGGGCTTGGGGGGCCATATGGGGTAACATGGATCGAACCAGGTCTGCCACGTGCAAGGCAAACACTATACCTGTTGTACTGTCTCTCTGGTCCCTCCTAATGTGTGGTGTTTCTAAAGTCAGGTATATGAAGTATATTTTAGAGTTTTGTGGTCTGTCTACCCAGGCTAGGTTTGTTTTGCTCTAGGACCCACCCTGCAATGCCCCAGAGCTCCATGCTTGGAGGTTGTTCGCCGCCCAGAGGTCCTGGGGATCAGACCCTGAGTTTCCCACATGGAAAGCACACACCCAAGCCTTTGAGCTATCTCCATGGCCTCTTTTTATTTATTTATTTATTTATTTGTTTGTTTTTGAGCCACACCCAGCAGTGCTCAGAGCTTACTCCTGACTCTGAGTTCAGGGATTACTCTGGGCAGGCAGGCTTGGGGGATCATAAAGGTTGCTGGGGATTGTACTTGGGTCAACCTTATGCAAGTCAAATGCCCCCTACCTGCTGTAGTGTTGCTCCAGTTCCTCCTTCCCAAGCCTCTCAATTTGTGCATTTAAAAACTGTTAAGGGGCCAGAGAAATGACACTGGTTCAGACACATGCTTTGCATGTGGCCACCTCAGTTCTATCCCTGGTCCTACATGGTCTCCCTGGCATCACCAAATGCAAGTATCTCCTAACACCCCATGAAACACTGCCCTAGTGGCCCAGTAGCACCAGCCCTGCAGGGCCTGAGCAGCACCGCATCCTCAGACTCTCAGATTGAACCTCCAGTTGAGTGAGAAAAGCTGGCGTGGTATCTGAGCATCCTTTCGGAGCCATCCCTGACCTCCCCTCCCCCGCCACACACACACACACACACACACACACACGTTTAATGTGGGAAAATAAGACAAAAATTACCATCTTTGTCATTTTTACTGTATATGTCAGTAGCTTTCAGTATTCTTTTGTTTTTATTTTATTTTATTTTGGGGGTCACACCTGGTCTCAGGGCTTATTTCTGACTCCACACTCAGGAATCACTCCTGGTGGTGCTTGGGTGCCAGGGATCAAACATGGGCCAGCCACATGCAAGTCAAGCGCTTTACCCACTGTCCTGTATCTCTGGCCCAGCATTTGTAATGTTTGTGCAATCAATCTTTGGAACTCTTCATCTTATAAAACTACAGTTCTATACCATGAAACAATTACCCCTCCTCCCCAGCCCTCAGCCCCGGAGATGCAGCATTCTACTGTCAGGCTTGGGAAATGGCACACTCTGCCTTTTTTCTGACAGACCGTTTGACTGAGTGTAAAGTCCTCAAGGTCTGTCCATGCGGCCCTTTCCTTCCCCTGTTCTGGGGAAATGGAGGTTCCCAAACAGTGCTCGGAGGGTATGAGGGCCACTCATAATGATTCTCAGCTGAGCCAGGCCAGATAGTTCAATGCTAGGGCTCGGCCGTTGCTGGGATATCCCCACGGTCATACCCAGTAGGGCTGGGGGAGATTCATGCAGTACCACGATTGAACCTGGGTCCCTGCACAAAAAGGCATGTGCCTCGGAACACTGGGCTCTCTTTCAAGCCTCTTCCTTTGGCTTTTTGTCTGTTTGTTTTATTGGGGGAGGGGGGCCTGTATCCAGTGGTCTTTGTAAAGGCTACTGCCAACACAGTACTCAGGAACCACTCCTGGCATTGTTCAGGTAACAGTGGTGGCTGAAATTAAACCTGGGCCTCCTGTGGGCAAAGCCCCTGGAGCCCTCTCCTCACCGCACTTCCTTTATAAAGACAGACTAGTATTCCACTGTGTTTAAGTAACATATTAGAGGCATATGCCACATCTGTCTTTTCCTGTGTCACTTGGATGCTTGGGTTGCTCTTGGTTCTTGTGAATGATGCAATTTTGAACAGAGGTATATTAGTCTCTTCAAGATCCTGAGTTTTTATGATTTATTGGGGTTTTTTGTTGGTTTGAGGGCCACACCTCACTGCTCAGAGATCACCCCTGGCAGGTACAGGAGACCATATGGGGTGCCGGGGATCAAACCCAAGTCATCTGGGGCCAAATCCTATGGACAGGGCAAGAAGGCAAGCACATTACCTGCTGTACTACATCTCTAGTCCCATTTTATGATTTTTTTTTTGGTAATTGAGTGAAGGAATGAGCCTAAAATTTTCTATCCCATGAGTTTAGCATATCTTAGTCATTTCATTTGGATAAATTCAGGGATGCAATACTAATTTCAGTAGGTAATGTCTCTTCTTTTTTTTTTTTTTTTTTTTTTTTTTTGCTTTTTGAGTCACACCCGGCGATACACAGGGGTTACTCCTGGCTCTGCACTCAGGAGTCACTCCTGGTGGTGCTCAGGGGACCAGATGGGATGCTGGGAATCGAACCCGGGTTGTTCACGTGCAAGGCAAACGCCCTACCCGCTGTGCTATCTCTCCAGCCCCAAAGTAGGTAATGTCTTTACCACTTCGTGTGCTGATGTTTTGGTTTTGTTTAGGGACAGCATCCTGCAGTACTCAGAGGCTCATCCAAGCTTGGTGCTCACTCCTAGTGGTGCTTAGGGAACCATGCAGTGCCAAAGACGACCCAGGGGGCTTCTGCATGCAAAGCCTATGCTTAGCCCTCCGAGCTATCTCTCCCCAGCGCAGAGTGCTGATGTGTTAAGGCTTCCTTGTGCCATTCCTCGTGGATATATGAGTGTTGTGAGAATTGCCATTAAGCAGAGCATAGCAGCACATCAGCTACAGCTCTGGGATTGAGGTTCTCTGAGCACACTGTCAGTGACTTGTATCTTACTCAAAGCCACATCGCACCATCCTCGTTGGTCATGTCAATCATGTGATCCTAGGGTGAAGTCTTACTGTAACTGACTCTTTCACTCAGTGCCCTGCTCCTGACAAAGACCTCAACATCACACTAGCAAGCCCGTCTCAAAGGCAGCAAAGGGCCCAGGGCTGAGGAGCTGCTGAAATAATTTCAGGAACAGATTCATGGAAGAAATGATCTCTGAATGAATGTTAGAGGAGGGAAAACCCCCAGCCACATGAACAGCCCGGCTTCTCTCCCATGCCCTACTTTGTCTGCAGGCGTGTGTAAGCCAGCGTCCAGATCATTTGCCATTCAAATAGCCGTCATCTCCGCTCTCAGCTCAGACATGATTGGGGGCTGCCGCGGCCTGGCGTTCAGGAACCAAAGACAGGCTTCTTTATCTCCTCTCTTAAGGCCCCCAGAGGCCTCTGCAGCACCCCCCACCCCCCACCCCATGCAAAGTCCTGCAGCAAGAGGTACACAGAACTCAAATGCACATCTATCCCGGGACCGGGGTCAGGCGACAGGTTCTGAAGAGCAAATAGACACCTCTGCTCTGTCTTCTTAAAATTCATCCTCTCACCTGCCAGCCTTGAGAATTGCCTATTTACATAACCATCTGCCTAAAATGGAATATTAGATAACGTGCGGCGGCAGCTCCCTCCCTGTGAGCCTGTCCCCAGCAGCTGAGAGGGCCCTGAGCCTCCTGACAGCAAAGAGCGGAGCCTGCTTGGCCGGCAGCCGTGCCTCCGTGCGTGCGGCGGGAACCCGTCAGATCTCCCCCGAGCTAAGCAGATGTCAGGCCCAGTCCCCTGCGGAGGAAGCCCACCCAGCCACAGGGAGCTGCAGGGGGCATGATGATTCGGCAAGTGGCACAGTGGTACCCTCCTCCCTTCCCCCCATCACAAAACACACCGTGTCTCCACTCTACTTGGCAGCGGGCACCTTGTCCTACCCAGGGGCTGTCTCAGGGATGGCCAGCCACAGAGGGATGGAGAAGAAGGGGGTGCCACGGGCCCGGTGGGAACAAGCTGGCCTGTCAGTTCTGGTGCCATCCCTGGCCCTGTTCAGCCTCACACCACCATGCCCCCTCCCCACGGGTCCTTTCCAAGGCGCGATGCTCCCTCCCTTCAAAAGTGGAGTCCCGCTGCTCGTTCCTCGGCATAGTATAAATAAGTGATAAGGAAGTGTTCTCATAAAGACAAATGGGGAATCGCGTCTCAGCCAACCACATGTATCCAAGAAGGCAACTCTGTGTGTGTGTGTGTGCGCGCGCGCATGTGTGTGTGTATGTGTGTGTGTGTGTGTGTGTGTGTTCGTCTCTTTTCCAGCGTTCCAGTTCCTATAGTCAGTTTAGAGAAAATTCCTAACCTAGTGAAGGCAGATGGTGCCAATGTCAGAATGAACTCGTCAGCCCCCACTGCGGTCACCTCCTGCTCCACCTCTGCGGTCTCCACCCCACCTCTCACTAAGCCAGTCTTGATGTCCAAGCCGGTGCCGCCTTCCCCTGAGAAGATCCTAAACGGCAAAGGAATCCTCTCTGCCTCCCTAGACAAGAAGCATCAAAATGGCACCAAAAACAACAACAAGCCTTACAGGAGACTCTCAGGTACGTGTCTGTTGTCCTTCAGAGTCTGGCTCCCGAGCCGACTGAGGCTGTGCGGGAAGTGACGTGTCCTTAGTTAGCATGGAGCAGGTCTGCCACGTCTCTGAGGGGGAACGTAGCATTGACCTACAGACATTTGCCCTGTAGCATTTAACCCACCAAAAAAGGCACGAGAGAGAACGGCTTCTCAGGTTCTTGGGCTGGAAGAGGTAGGAGCTGTCGCCTGCCTACCTGCCTGCCTGCCGGGACGCCTGATGGCTCCACTCTGAGCAACGATGCTCTGTGCCTTCCCAGGGGCTGCTGTGGGCAGGTGGACAGGAAACTCCCCAGCTCTGGGGAAGTATCACTGTCGTGAGGCTCCCCCACCTCACGCCGCAACACCTCCACAGTCAACGTGCCTGCAACTAAGCTAGTCTTTCCCCGCAACACCCCTGACCCCCCCGGTTACTGCCCTGCGGAAAGACATAATACTCTGTCCTCTGGTCTAGCTGGTTTCTGTTGATTCTCTGGTCTGGGGCTGCAGCAGCCTTTCCTGGATCATGATATGGGAGCGCCCCCTTCAGGAACTCTTGGGTGGGCCTAGCAGATGGGGAGGCCTTCTGGTGCATCTCTCCTGGCTCTGCTCCTTGGTTGCCTGTCATGGGACCTCGCTGGTCTTTGAGGCACTGATTGCCCTCTCCGGTGCCCCTGTGGGGATGTTGTTGGCTTGGGTTTGTTGTAGAACTAAAACCCAGCTGTTCTGCTTTCTTGGGAACTTGCAGAAAAGCTGTCTAAGCTCCATAACCTCTTCGCTCATGCGCCTAACATGGAGCAGAGAAAGTACCGCAAAAGCCACTTGTGAAAGAGAAGCTGGTTCCACTGTCACAGGCATAACTGTTAGGCATCCCGCCCCCACCCCCTACAAAATTGTGAATAATTTTTATGACTTTTCTACTATTGGAGGCAGAGGATTGATCTGGAGCTTTTTAAAAGTTACTTCTGAATCTTTAAAAAGTTTTAAAAAAAATACGCTAGGCCCACAGCTTTCAAACTACATAGGTATTGTACCCTGAAAATCTCCCCTTTTGGAGAGTGAGGGGGGCTTTGATTGAGTTTTGGGGGGGGCGTCTTGTTGTTTTTGATTTTGGGTTACACCCAGCAGTGCTCAAGGATTACTTCTGGGTCTCCACTCAGGAATCACTCCTTGTGAGTCGCAGGAGACCATATGGGACTCTGGGGATTGAACCAGGGTTAGGTGCATGCAAGGCATAATGGTCTACCTGCTGTACTCCCTGAAAACCTCCCTTAGTATACTAATCACCCCAGGACCATATGGGGTGCTGGGGATTGAACCCAGGTCGGGTACATGCAAGGCAAAAGTCCTAACTGCTGTATTAACCTAACAGCTCTTTGGCCCCTGAAAACCTCCCTCTGTACTAATCACCCCTTATCAAGGAAGAGAGTAGTACCGGGGGCATCTGTGGACAGGAACCCCCAACTCTTGGCCAAATGGAAATTTCAGTTACGCTCTGCAGAGGCAGATGGCAGTGTCCCTGGATAAAGCAGCTGGCCACACTAGGCCCCATGTCCAGTGACCAAGGCCTCATCAGAGCCAACATACAGTCTTAGCTTCCAGCCTCCATCTGGAGTGATCCGGGGATTTCTGTTGCTGTTGGTAGCTCTTACAGCCTGAGGTTGTTCTGTCTCATTGGAACTCTTGCTGGTTTCTGTCTCACTTTCATGTTTGGCAGCGAACTCCTACCCCAGCCAAACCACCTGCTGAGTCCCAGATACTGGTGTGGGCACAGTTCTGACCTCACAGAGCCAAGGGGAAACCCTTGGGCAGGCCTTGCTGCTGCGCAAAGAGGCTTGTAGGGGGTGGTCCAAGTCTGGTGTTTTTCTGTTTTGAAATAAAAAGCTTTTTAAAAAAAATAATAAAGACCAAAAGATGGCGAGGAAAGGGGTGAGTATGCAGAGGCATTTTAATGGTCAACCAAGATATCTATCTTTTAAAAATGGCTTATGGTGCCCGTCATTTGCACCACCACAACCACAATTTGCAAATTTTCTTCTTAAAATGGAATGCATTTGGGTCAGAGGAACAGCTCAAAAGGGATGGAGTGCAGGCTTTGCATGAAGGAGCCCCAGATTCCATCCCTGGCACCACATGGTCCCCCAGGCACTGTGACTGTCCCTAGCACGCACACACACACACTCTCTCTCTCTCTCTCTCTCTCTCTCTCTCTCTCATAAATGCATAAATAGAGAACATTTGCTTATTATGCTTGAAGTTTACTCCATGAAGTTCTAGTTTTTCAGCCTAGGTGTCCTTTTTTTTTTTTAATCATTTATGGCCATTCATGGCCATTAAGAACTAGCTATCAAATGTATAGGCTCCCACCCTGCAGCCAGCCCCCACCCTGCCGCCAGTCTCCCTGCATCCCCAGGAGAGCTGCATCATTCATGCTCTTCAGGACACAGGGACCTCCCAGAATGGCCCAGGCCTGCAAAGTCCTGAAGAGATGCCTTTACAGCCTCTCGAGGGAGAGGGAACGGGAGCACTTCTTTTACGTCCCAATGGGTAAAGGATCCCAAGTGAGCATGAAAGACCAGGCTCTGCAAAAGACCCGTGAGCAGAGTAGAGCCAAGGAGACCCTGGTCCCCCTGTGACTCTCCTCTGTCCTGGTGGGGCCTGTCTGTTCTGAGTCATCCCTCTGGGGAGCAGCAGGCCCTGTCTTCAAGTACACACACCTGGCTGTGACCCTGCCAGAAGATTCTGGAATGCCATTTTTCTGGTCATGGAGGCTGTGCAGAAAACCTCATGTAAAGATTTGCAAAGCCTCAGAGACAGTCACGCCAATGGGTGGAGGAAGGCTGGTGTGTGCCAGGGATGTAGGGGGGTCAGAAGAGAGTTCCTGGGCCACAGGCAGCGCCCCCTTGTCTGCCCTCAGCTCTGCCCACACGGGGACACATACTTAAGGTTTGGGGGAAGCCGTCAGCATGAGGACCCCTTTCCCTTTGGTGCTGGCCACCTGCCGTGTTCTGGGGTTCAGAGTAGAACCTCCCTCCACTCCATACCTACCCCTACCTTAACCCCAGTGGGTTCTTGAAGTCTTTTAGCAGCTGGTTGAAAGGAAAGAAAAAAAGAAAATTTTAAAAAGTAAAAAAAAAAAAAAAAAAAAAAAGATTGCCTGACAATATCTCACTTGTTGGTGCAAATGTGCATTTTTTTGAATGTAGTCTTAATGCCAACTCCTATTTAGTCTCCTTTTTTCTTACATTTTTTGTTTGTTTCTTAAACCAGAGAGAGAATTTGACCCAAATAAACACTGTGGAGTATTGGATCCCGAGACAAAGAAACCTTGCACAAGATCCCTCACCTGCAAGGTATTTCTCTTTCCATAAAAAATACTTCCTGCTCTCGCTGGGGCCTTTGTCGAAGTGTTTGCATGCCACTCTCTGCACTCGGCAGGGTGTGGAACCTCGACATGACCCCCAGCTGTTCTTTGTAAAGGAAATGCTTTCTTCTCTTCCATGGTAGCAGAGTGCCTGCCTCAGGCTGGCTGGCTTTTTAAGAAGGAGGAGGGAAAAAAAAAAGAAGAAGAAGAAGAAAGAAAGAAAAGAAAAATAGGCTTCCCCTGTTACTTGTGAGGCCAGACAGTAAATTGTATTTATAGGCTCTCACAGGCGGTTCTAAACCCTGCTACGTTTTAATGTATGCAGGAGCAGCGGCAGCGCGGCGGCGGCGGCGGCGCCCTGAAAGCCTGCCTTGGCGGCGCGACCGTCTGCCGCACCCCTGATCCGGCCACACCGGGGGCTGGGGGGGACATCGGACCCAGCCGGCGCCGCTGGAAAGCCCCAAGCCCCGTTTTTCATACTGATCTGCCGGTGCCGCTGGGGCTGGAGGCGGTGGGCCTCTCTGCTCCGTGCCTCTGCGTGTCGGGCCAAATCCAGCCTCCCGCCTGCACCTGGATTCATTTGCGCCCTCCGCGCGCGCGCGCCTGCCCGGTCCTCCGTGATGTTGCCAGGGGCGCTGCGCTGAAGCCGGTCTCGTCTTAGTGGCATTCATTTTTTTGGAGGAAGCCTGGGCTCCTTGACGCCAGGGGTGTCGGGCATGGTCGCGTCTGGTGGTGGTGGTGGTGGCAGCGGTGGTGGTGGTGGTGGTCTCTGCCTTTTTCCCAGCCACAGAACAGGAGCTGTTGTTGCCTTGAAGTTGACTTTGCAAGCACCTCCAAATCCTCCTGAATTTGTGTCTCTGAGACAGACACAGGGGCCTGGGGAAGCAGGTTTATGTGCTGATCAAAGGGGCTGTGCTTTTCATCTCTCTTCTCCTTAGACACATTCGCTAAGCCATCGGAGGGCAGTCCCGGGCCGGAAAAAGCAATTCGACCTCCTTTTGGCGGAACACAAAGCCAAGTCCCGGGAAAAAGAAGTTAAAGATAAAGAGCATCTCCTGGCTTCCACAAGGGAGGTGCTTCCCAACCCTGCTGCTGGGCCGGGGCCGGAGACTCTGCCGGGATCTTCAGGGAGCTTGGGGCCAGAACCTAAAGTCGCCTCCCCTGCAAAATCCAGACCACCTAACTCTGTGCTTCCTCGGTAAGTCCTGCCCGGTTGCTTGAAGCCCTGAGTCCTGTTGCATGGTCTGAGCCGGTGTTTTATGGAAGTGGCAATAGCTCCCCCCTTTGAAAGGCAGCTGTGTGGCTTCGTGGGTTCTGGGCCTCAGGGGCTGCACCAGCACCTCCAGCATCGGGCTGAGCTGTCATCTTCCTCGTGGACCTGTCTCCCAGCCCGCCCTCCCCACTCCCCCCCATCCCCTTCCTCCCTCATCCCCCCCTCATCCCCTTTCATAGCAGGCCTCTTAGACAGCTGTTTTCACTGAGCAAGAAGCAGCTGGAAATGAATACCTGGAGGGATGGTGTATGAGTCGCCAACTTTCCTGGATTCCTGGCCTGTGAGCTGATTTGCAGTCTCTGGAGCCGAGAGTAGGGAATTCGGGGTGACTGGGTATTCAGCTCTTCCGAGGAGCCCACATGCTGACACCGGTGCTGTGTGAATTCTGCCGCCCACCCCCCCACACCCCTCACGGCTGCTCTTACATCTGGTGGGCGGGAAGCTGGAGTCCGTCATTGAGGCACTGGGTCCTTCTCTTTTCCTCCTTGCCAAGAAAGCTCTGCCTCCCTATCTGGGGTCTGAGTTGGCTGGCCCAGACGGAAAGGAAAGATCTGAGAGCAGGAGTTCAAACCCATCCTGGGATGCAGAGTCATTTAAAAATGCTCACGCGTCTGCTTGGCACGCTGCTGCAGGAGGCAGACTCATTTCCTTCCCGGACACCAGGCGGGACACCCTTCCCCCCAAAAAAAAAAAATATTCTTCGAGGACTGACTCTGGGTGAAACAAAATCCTGCTTTTCAAGAATGGCACATGTAGAGGATGAGATGAAATTGAAATCTCCGCTACCTCCCAAGAAGGAAACATTAATAATATAAGAGGAGAAGTGCTGAGCGTGGTGTTCGCTGGTGATCTTTAATGCAGGTGGGATTGCAGCTCAGAGGGGGATAATTGCCTAGTCTGCGGAGGTATAAGGAGAAAGAACATACTTCAATGGGAAGGGAAAGTAGTGGAATTTTTAAAGGAGAAGCAAACATTCGAGAACATGTCTTTTGGGGTCAAGCATGACCCAGTTGGACAGCTACGACCACCTGGTTGGGGTGAAGATGTTGGCCTCAGCCCTTTAGGAATCCCAAACCCTCACCCTGCCTTCGTTCACACCCTTGCCTCATGCCATCATTGCTGAGCCTGTAACAGGGCCCACCTTGCTCTTTTTTTTTTTTCCTTTTTGAGCCACACCCAGCGATGCTCAGGGGTTACTCCTGGTTCTGCACTCAGGAATTACTCCTGGTGGTGCTTGGGGAACCATATGGGATGCCAGGGATCAAACCCAGGTCAGCTGTGTACTATCACTCCAGCCCCAAGCCCACCCTGCTTTTGTAAGTGATCACAGCCCACTGTGATGCGAGACACTGGGTAAGGATTTTTCCCTGTCTGAAGAGTCAAGGAGAGGATTCTGTCTTCGATTCTGTTGACAGCCAGCCCTGAGCTCATGCAGGTCTGGATGAGTGGGTTGAACCTATATATATGGAGGGCCTGTGTATTCCAGTCATGGTTTGATTTTCAGCTGGCACTCACTAACACTCTCATGGTTAAAGGGGCTTTCGCACTTCTTTGCGAGTGTAGACTATTTTCATTCTATACAGGGTCCCAGTGTAGAGGCATAGTGACTCCATCTGAGCTGTGAAGTTTCCTCTTTCTGGCTTAGAGCTGACGTTCAGCCTTGCAAGTGAATGATCATGAGTTTAAATTCCCAGCACTCCATTTGCGCTGAGCGCGGTTCTGGCCACTCTGTGTTCCAACCCAGGCACGACCCCCTACCCCCAGCCCACCCCCATACAGAAGAGTTTCTTATTTCTGTTCCTTCTTGGTTTACCTTTTAGAGGAATGTCTCTCTATAGAGAAATGTCAGGTGATCCTATTATCTTAGGGAAACAAGAAAGAGAAAGAGTCTGGAGACATAGTACAGGGGGCAGGGCTCTTGCCTTGTACTTAGCCATACTGGGTTCAATCTCCAGCACCCCTGTGGTCCCCTGAGATTGCCAGGAGCAATTCCTGAGTGCAGAATCAGGAGGAACCTGTGAGCAACCAAGAATGAGAAGAAGAAAGAGGAAGGAAGGAAGGAAGGAAGGAAGGAAGGAAGGAAGGAAGGAAGGAAGGAAGAAAGAAAGAAGGAAGGAAGATGGGAGGGAGAGAGTAAGAGAGAGAGAAATGGGTTAATCAGCAAAAATTCTCTCTAGAGTAGAAGTGGATTGACCAAGGAGCACTGTAAACTTGTTAGTAGCATACTAATTTTTTTGCTTTTTTGGGGGGAGGGGTCACACCCGGCGATGCACAGGGGTCACTCCTGGCTCTGCACTCAGGAGTTACTCCTGGCGGTGCTCAGGGGACCATATGGGATGCTGAGAATCGAACTTGGGTCGGCGTGTGCAAGGCAAACGTCCTACCCACTGTGCTATCTCTCCAGCCCCAAGTAGCATACTAATTTTTAAGGTTTCTTTTCTTTGAGGGGAGACTGTACCCAGCCGTGCTCTGGGCTTACCCCTGGCTCTTTGTGCAAGGATCACTCCTGGTAATTATCAAGGACCATATAAGGTGCCAGGAATCAAACCAGGTCAGCTGTATGCAAAGCAAGCACCTTCACCCCTAGACAGTCTCTCCATCCCCTGTGGGTGCCTTTCAAGGTTGATAGAGGCACTGGAAAACACCCAGGTTTTGGATGCTGTTACAAAGTTTATGATGAATGAAATCATCCTTCACTCATTTCAGACTGGGATGAGACCTAAACTATCCAGCCAAAGGTTGAAAAAAGGATAATAGGTTTAATGTCTACTAATGTGATGCTTAAAATATTTTATTTTACTCATTAATAATGTGTATTTTAAAAATTATTACTATTTTGAGGATTGGGCTGGAGCGATAGCACAGCATTAGGGCGTTTGCCTTGCACGCAGCCAACATGGCCGACCCGAGTTTGATTCCTCCGCCCCTCTCGGAGAGCCCGGCAAGCTGCCGAGAGTATCTTGCCCACACGGCAGAGCCTGGCAAGCCACCCGTGATGTATTCAATATGCCAAACACAGTAACAACAAAATCTCCAATGGAGACGTTACTGGGCCCGCTCGAGCATTTTGAGGATTGTTTGAAGTACTCTCGGCTCTGTGCTCAGGGATCATGAGGCACAGGGTGGGACGTGGGGTGGCAACTGGGATGAGCCACATGCAAGGCAAGGGCAAGGTCCCTAGTCCCTGTACTACCTCTCTGTTCCCTGTCTAAGGCATTTCAAAGACACATCACTTCATCATCCATTATTAGCCAAAAATTTCAAAAAGTCACACATGAATAATCTAGTCTCAATCATAAATGCCTTTTGTATTTATGATTACCTTTGTATTTATGAATACCTTTTGTAGAACATGTGAAAGTACTTCATACATCTCTTTTGTAAACCTTGAAAGCATTTTAGTTCTTATATTCCCAATTGCAACCATTGAGAATTCCTTCCTAAAAAGGGCCATCAAGCAGGGCATGTGTCTTGCATACACCCAACCTGGGTTTGATCCCGGCACCCCATTTGGTCCCCAAGCCCTGGCAGGAGTGATCCCGAGCACAGCAGCAGGAGTCATCCCTGAACACCACTGGGTGTGACTCATAAGCGGAGGGTAGGGGAACGAATCATTCCTTGATCACTGGCCCACAGGACCCCACCAGCACCACATCCTTGGGTCCTGTTGGCAAAGAATTGAACCTCCAGCCTCATTGGCTGAGAATTACTGGGTAGGGTTTCCCCAAACATTTAGTGAGTTTTAGCCTATCAAGGGCAGCAGGGAGAGAAAGGAAGGTCCTAGATTCAGGTGGGGAGGGGGCAGGCTAAGAGACCTGAAGGAGTATGAACGTGGGCTGCCAGCGTCCTAGCAGGATGGGCATTTGGAAAGTTTCTCCCTCTCTGTGACCAAGTATTAGGTGAACTGACTGCCGCTGAGATTCTAACGAAAGGAGTGTGACTCACCCCAGAGAATCGCAAAAGAAAAAGCTCTGTAATCCAGTGATCGTCCGGGCTATTGGCTCAGGTTCTAGAGAACAGGGTGGAAAGATTCAACCAGATCATGTGGAAGTCGGGAGGTTAAAGTTCTTCCAGAAGACGGAGGCATCTTGCTAGTTCTAGAAGACAAGGAGTGTTTCTGATTTAGAGCTGGAAAATTTATTCTTGGAAAGTTTATAAACTAAAATGAATCACCGTTTTAATGACCCCGTGGGAAGTGGCCCATGGTTTTGACATCTTTTATGTGAATAATCATTTCTATGTCTCTCTTTCATAATCACCTAATAACATTGGGGGAGGGAGTCACACCCAGCACTCAGGGTGCTCAGGGCCCTAGCCTGGCAGTACTCAGGAATCCAACCTGGCAGTACCTAGGGGAACCATATGTGATGCTAGAATTCAAACTAGGCTTGTGGTTGTCAATGCATCGTGCTAGGCAAGTGCTTTAAACTTTGTCCCATCTCTGCAGCCCTTCACACACATACACACACACAACACACACACACACACACTCTCACGCACACACTCACATATACATACACACATTTTGTTTGTTTGTTTGTTTGTTTGTTTGTTTTGCTTTGGGGGCTACATCCAACTGTGCTCTGGACTTGCTCCTGGCTCTGCGCTCCTGGATCACTCTTGGCAGTGCTCAGGGAACCATATAGGGTGCCAGGGATTGAACCAAGGTAGGCTGCATGCAAAGCAAGTGCCCTACCCACTGTCTCTCCAGGCCTACACACACATAATTTTTATTTGATTTTATTTTATTTTGCTTTTTGGGCCACACCCAGAGATGCACAGGGGTTACCTCTGGCTCATGTACTTAGGAATTACTCCTGGTGGTGCTTGAGGGACCACATGGGATGCTGTGAATTGAACCTGGGTCATCTGTGTGCAAGGCAAACGCCCTACCTGCTATGCTGTTGCTCCAGCCCCTACACACA